AAACTATGATTCAACATCATGTGGAGTTACACCAACTCGTAGTATAGCTGGTATGGGGGTGAAAACATGATATTTCCCATGCCAATTACCCCTTTAAATGGCCTGAACTACCTGGAGTGGGCTAAAAGTGTGAAACTTTATGTAATAGCAAGGGGAAAAGCTGGTTACATAAATGGCAGAGTGAAAGAACCCAAGTGTGAGACAGCTGAACATGATAGGTGGGACCAAGAAAAAAGTACGGTGGTGTCTTGGCTCCTTGCAGCCATGGAACCCGATGTGAAGAAGAACTTTATGTGGGCAGACACCGCGAGTGAGATTTGGGAATAGGCCAAAACCACCTATTCTGAGCAAAGGCATTATGCCAAGATTAACTAGTTGCAAACTGAATCCTCAACCTGTAAACAGGGAAATCGTAGTTTGTCTGCCTATTATTCAGCCCTTACTTCCGTATGGAAAGAATTGGATCATTATCAGGCTATAGAGTGGAAACATGACGATGATGCTAAGGCCTACAGGAAGCTGGTTTCTTAGCAGCGTGTGTTTGCCTTCTTGTTGGGATTGAACCCTGCCTATGAACCCTTGAGAGTTCAGATCTTAGGAAGCAAAGAGTTGCCATCGGTTCAAGAGGTATATGCCCTTGTTCAATCTGAAGAAAGTAAGTGGAGTGTGATGGTTACAACTGAGGGGGAGCAACAGGTAGCATTGGCTACAATGAGTAATAACAATATGGGGAAGAAAAGTGATTCCAAGAAGGCTGATGATAAAGACAAGTTGTTTGGTACCCACTGTCGGCGCTCGCGACATACACATGACACATGTTGGGAAATTCACAGGAAGCCCAAGTGGGCAGTGAAGAACCAAGGACAAGGTAAAGTGCAAGGTCAGAAGAAGATGAATGCAGCACATAATGCAGCACATGTGGTAACCCAAGATACTCAGGTTGCTAGTACTACCCAGGACCACTTTACTAATTCTGACCGCAAGGAAGATATCATGAATTCCTTCAGAGATCACTTAGAGTCATATGGTAGGGCTTTGCGACAGATGGATAGTTCAGTCACTGGTACTCCTACTTCATTTGCATTTACATCAGGTAATGCAGCTTCTGCATTCCATGTCACTACTACCATTGATTCCCCTTGGATCATTGACTCAAGGGCCTCTAACCACATGACCGGTAAGCCAAATTTGTTTCAGACTTATAGTCTTTTGTCAGGAAGGGATAAAGTGAGGCTTGCAGATGGATCATTCTCCTCCATTGCAAGCCAAGGATTAATATCCCTTCCCCATGGCCTTAACCTAAATAGTGTATTGCATGTCTCCCAACTTCCTATAAATTTGCTTTCAATCAGTAGTATCACAAACTCTTTAAACTATAGTGTAACATTTTTTCCTGGTTCATGTGTTTTTCAGGATCTAACTTCTGGGAGGACGATTGGTAGAGGAAGCCTAATGGATGGTCTCTATATTCTCGACAACAAAGCTGGTCTCTTGGTGTCGTCCTCGGAGTCATGTAGTCAGTCAAATAAGAGTCAAATTTTTTGTGGCATAGTTGATTAGGTCATGTTTCCTTTGAAATAGTGAAGTCTTTGTTTCCGTTTTTATTTAAGTTATGTTCAGTGTCAGATTTTCAGTGTCAAACATGTCAGTTGAGCAATTCAAGTAATAAAAGATCCAAATTTCCTTTTCATATTGTGTATTCTGATGTATGGGGGCCTACCACTATAACCTCTGAGGGCGGGTATAAGTATTTTATCACTTTGATCGATGATTTCTCCCGATATACATGGGTATTCCTGATGTGTAGCAGAGATGAAGTTCCAAAGATTGTGAAAGACTTCCAGAGGATGGTGTTTACGCAGTTCCATATCGAAATACAGATCTTCCAATCAGATAATGCTAAGGAATATTTCCATAGTGAGCTGAATGAGTTCTTTGCCTCCCATGGATCTATTCATAGGAGCTCGTGCGCAAGAACACCACAACAAAATGGTGTTGCCGAAAGAAAAAATAGACAACTTCTTGAGGTAGCTCGAGGGATGATGTTACATATGAATGTTTCAAAGAGGTTTTGGATGGATGCTATACTTGCAGCTACTTATGTCATCAATCGCATGCCCTTTAGAGTGCTGAACTACATGGCCCCTCATCAGTTGTTGTTCCCTCAGCCCCCTTTATTTTCCATTCCCATGAGAGTCTTTGGTAGTCGTGCCTTTGTCCATGATTTGTCTCTGTCTCGGGGTAAGTTAGACCCTCGGTCCATTCCTTGTATCTTTCAGGGGTATCCCTCCTCTCAAAAGGGGTATCGGTGCTTTGATCCCGTTAGTCATAAATTCTGTGTCTCTATGGATGTGTCCTTCTTTGAGTCTGAACCGTTCTTCCCTACTCTCAGGGGGAGAGTAGTGTGGAAGAGGAGAAGCAGGTTTAGGTCCGCCAAGTCTCGTTTCCTTCTATTTCTTACCTGGCCCCCTTTCATGTCTTCCAACGTACACGCCGTAGAGATCAACAATGTGACATTGATGTGGAGCTACCAACCACTGAGCATCTGACACCGTCAGACTCCCATGAGGTAAATCTAAGCCCTGCTACACCTATTGACACCCCTGCTCCTACTGTGGATGACCTTGACATTCCTATTGCTCAAAGAAAGGGAGTCAAGTCATGCACTACCAAACATCCCATCACCTAGTATGTCTCCTATGATCACATTTCCCCCTCATACCGAGCCTTCCTATCTGCAGTTGATTGCATCCTTGTACCCAAAAATGTTGCAGAAGCCTTAAAATACCCTGAATGGATAGATGCTATGAAGGAGGAGATTAATGCCCTCTATAAAAATCAAACTTGGAAATTGGTAGATCTTCCAAGGGGGAAAGACCCAGTGGGGTGTAAGTGGGTGTTTACAGTTAAACGCAAGGCAGATGGGACAGTTGAAAGATATAAAGCAAGATTGGTAGCCAAGGGGTACACTCAAGTGTACGGAGTTGACTACGATGAGACATTTGCTCCAGTAGCTAAGATGAACTCAATTCGAGTTCTTCTATCATTAGCTGCTAATCTTGACTGGGAATTGCATCAACTAGACATTAAGAATGCCTTTTTAAATGGTGACCTAGAGGAGGAGGTATACATGGTTCAACCCCCTGGGATTCTGTGCCAAGGGAAGTGAAAAGAAGGTGTGTAAGCTAAGAAAGTCTCTCTATGGATTGAAACAATCTCCTAGGGCTTGGTTCAGTAAGTTTCATATGGCGGTTCAGCAAGTAGGGTTCAAGCAATGTCAGTCTGATTACACACTCTTTGTGAAGAGATGTCAGGAACAGTTGTTGTTTTGATAGTGTATGTGGATGATATCATCATTACAGGAAATTGGAGTTCAGAAATACAACAATTGAAACAATTCCTTGCGTCTAAATTTGAAGTTGCCCACTCAAAAAAGGGTATTTTCATTTCTCAAAGGAAGTACACTCTTGATTTGTTACAAGACACAGGCAAGTTAGGTGCAAGGCCAGCAAATACTCCTATGGATGTTGATCATAAATTGGGTAACTGTGATGGTGAACCTCTGAAAGATGTAAAACAATTCCAAAGGTTAGTGGGGAAGTTGATTTATTTGTCCATTACTCGTCCAGACATTTCCTATTCAGTTGGGGTCCTGAGCCAATTCATGCACTCTCCTAAGAAACCTCACTTGGAGGCAACAGAGAGAGTTCTTAGATACTTAAAAAAGTATCCAGGAACAGGTCTACTATTCAATAAGCATAATCATCTAAAGGTGGAAGTCTTTACAGATGCTGATTGGGCAGGTGCGGTGGATGATAGAAAGTCCACAAGTGGGTATAAGTGGGTATTGTACATTTGTGGGAGGAAACCTAGTGACCTGGAAAAGCAAGAAACAAAGTGTGGTAGCAAGGTCAAGTGCTGAAGCGGAGTATAGGGCTATGGCACATGGGGTGGCTGAAGTTCTTTGGCTTAAAAATCTTCTAGGGGAGTTTGGAATTGTTATTCACAATCCTATGTCTCTTTATTGTGACAACAAAGCAGCCATTAACATTGCCAACAATCCTGTCCTACATGAGAGGACCAAGCACATTGAAGTGGACAAACACTTCATAAGGGAAAAATTGGAAAGAAAGGAAATTTGCATCCCTTATGTCAACTCCAAGGAACAACTTACTGATGTCCTCACAAAAGGACTTTCATACTCGCGGCACAATGAGTTGTGTGACAAGTTGGGCATGATAGACATATACAACCCAACTTGAGGGGGAGTGTTGTGAATCTTATTTATTGGTTCTGTGTTAGTATGCTGTTAGTATGTTGTTTGGTTCTGTGTTCGTATGCTGTTAGTATGTTGTCAGCCTAGTCTATCTAGGTGCTGACAGCTAGCTTCTTTTTTTTTTCTTGTTAGTTGTTTGTTATTAGGAACTGCCAGGGACATTCTTGTAACTTCACTTCTTATTACATTAAGTGAATATAAATAAGAAGCTGGGAACGACCAGCCTAGAGTTTTTGAGTCTCAGTCGACTCTCTCTTCTCTTCTCCTCTTTCTTCTCTTCTCTCTCTCGTCTCTCTCAGGAAGGAACACAAATACCTTTAGATAATTTTTATTGTTGAATACTTGAAAACAAATTTACCCAACTTAACAAGGAGCCAGGGAAGGTTTGGTTGTCTTACATTTTAGTCAGATTTCAAGCAAGGTTGTTTCAATCTTCTGGGACTTGACAATGTATGCTAAGTCTTCCAGGTCCCCAAGTCCAGTTTGGTTATTTAGCATGTTATGTGTTGCCCCCGAACACACATAGAGGGCATGAAGTTTAAGAATCATCATTTGCTATACTTAATTTAGAAACCTCCTTCCTTGCTAACTCTTGGTATTTCTATGCAACAAACTAGTTATCTGAATCTTTTCTCAGAAATAGTTGGGTCCTATACTTTTGGTTAACTAGGGTTTCATCTCCCCCCTCCATCTCTTTCTCTCTTTCCTTTTTCAACTATTGCAGATTGGTATATCTTCAAGTCACAGGGATGGATGATGGGCTTAGCATCAAGGAAAGAATTTGCTACGTGAGTGCTTGACCTGATTATAATTGAGCTGCATATGTATTATTAATTATTATTCTTTTGGTAGACATTGCTGAGAACTTGTTAAAAAGAATGAAAAGTCTATTCATTATCTATTTTTGTGGATCTTGTTATTATGATTAGAATTACAGATTTATTGTTATAAATACAATAATTATGAGATTTATGTTATAGATGCTTCTAGGGTAGGGATGAAATACAAAAATCCATTGATACGATACGACTCTACATTTTCCTACATTTCTTATTCGCCTAGTATATTATTATCTTTTTGTTTTTATCTTATCCTCTTTCTTCTCTTAAAATTAGGTAAACTCCTTGATGTTTACATCCATCTGTGCACATCACATCTTTTCTTAAACTATGGCACTAGCTGATTTAGCAAGCCCACTTGTGTTAATTACTGTTTTGATGCAACTGGTATGGACTTGTTTATCTCAACATTCTCAATGTTTACTTTAAGCATTTATGTCCTTTTCCCTATTGCAGCTGAACTCTATGATGGATATTGGAAGTGATGTCCAAGTTCGTGCAAGTGGGGCCCTTCTTGCTATACTAGAGAATGAGAGGCTTGTAGATACCCTTGAACAGAAGGATTCTGGGAATTCCTCAATTACTATAGATTGTGTAACAGAAATTTCATTTTATCCTCCATCTTACCTCATACTTCATATATAGTTKCTATTGTTCTAATTTTATAAGTTCAAATTCCTTTAATATATCCATATAATGTAAAATGAACTTCAAGAAACAACCTTACATCCAACACAGACACAAATTCCTCAAACTGGATTCAGCAGCTTATGAGGCATTACAGATTTTCCAAATAGACAAACATCCAAGCCATATGGGCATCGGGAGAGCAAAAGAAGGGTAAAGACTGACAACATATTTTGAAGTTTTTTACCATGGTCCTAAGGGTGTGCACTGATATACTCAATATGCAGGTTCTCTGTGTTTGGGATGTTGAACAAGGTAAGGAAGATCCATTTGGATTTTAGGCTTGCAATGTATTTCTACTAAATTGGTCTTCTTTTCTTCAGTGTATCACTCCAATGGGTAGACGTCTCTTGAGGTAAACTCATAATAAGAAAGTTGTGGTCCTATATTTTTGACATTGTCAGTTTACTTGGGGATTTACAGAATTAATTTGCTTTGTCCCCAGAAGTTGGTTCTTGAGGCCTATACTGGACCTTGAAAATTTGAACAGTCGTCTCAATACTGTATTCTTTCCCCTTCAAACTGCATTTAGATAATTCTTAACTTGAATGCTTATATTGGAGTGTTGGATTAAGATTTGTTTGACTAACTTCAAATGGTTGGCATATGATTTGGATGATGGATTTTCTGAACCTATCAGAATTAAAAAGGAAAAAAAAAATCTGTTTCCTTTCATAAGTCTACTTTGGCAAAAACTTGTTTTCCCTAACATGGAATTAGATATCATTCTTTCTTTGTTCTGAAGAACTGATGGCTACTTTGCGTGAAACATTGAAGTCAGTAAAAGATGTTCCCTACATACTGAAGGTGCATTTTCTTTTCTTTCCTTTCATTTGCTTTCCATTTTATCTTCCCTGTCTCCCTTTTATTTTAACAATAAAGGTTTCAAGATCTAATATTTTACTATTTTGAGCGAACTAGTCAATATTTATTCAGTAAATATATTTGCAATCAGATGCTTAAGGATGAAATTGATGATGAATATTCTACCTAATTAGTGGATTTGATATTGATGATCCTCATCAGCAAGCAAACCTTGCATGATTCAGTTATTAGCACTTTGTGGTCATATTGGAAGATAGAAATAAGGTTAGGTCTTTGGCTATGAGCATTAATTACTTTATTGACCAGAATGAGTATTTAAACCAAATGTTTTGAAAATATGAAATCACCTCAGACCTGCACAAGTGATGTTGTTTCATTGATGTGGCATGTGCTATTGGCTACGATTTACTACTAGGTTACATTTTTCACAGTTGATATTTCTACCATGTTACAATTGTTTGTTTCTTAGCAAACAGAGATATTTTCTTCAACATCATCTCCTATGACTATTCATTCCCATTCCACATTGGAATCCATTTCTCCAATTTAAAACTTAATCTTCTCATGTTCTATCAACATCACTTGATACAAGGAAGTACATAAGGTTATATGCTTTTCATGTATGGTGTTGACCCTTTTGCACTTGGGATTTCTTTTCAACATAAAATGTTTAATGCTTTTCTTTTTTTCTTTTGTTGGGGTCATTGAAGAAATTCAACTCTCCAAGTTCCATTTGTACAAATGTTGACTGGACAGCCTTTTCAAAGGTAGATATACCTTTACCCTTTTCTATTTTTTATGAATGCGCTTTCATTTGTTACTTCCTTTTCCCTCCTTCCTAAGACTTCATAGATATTTGAAATTTCGAACTTACTGGTTTCATTTATTGGAGAATCACTGATACTATGTTGAAGAACTTCCAGTAACAATAAGATGCCTATTGTTGAAAGTAACCTATCCGTTGTACACAACATTCTTTATTAGGTTTATATATAACATGGAATAACTTGCTTGGAAAGATATCTTCTATGTGCTCATGTCTACAGGAACAACTTGATTTTTACATGGCAATTGAAATTGTTTCAATACCTCAACTGTACCTAATCATGATCACCAGAAGAATTATTAAATTGGGAATCATGATCCTCTCAACCTTCCTTTCCTTCACAATGATGTGCTTTTACAGGTTCTAGAATCAAGCTACTATTAGAGGTTCATTAATCCAACATCCTGTAATACTTTTTATTTTTGCAGAGCATTTGTTCACTCTTGCACATGAACAACATATTTGAAGTTGGAGTTTCCGAAAATCTAAGAGAGCATGCAAAATATTTGAATGTGGACATTGTTGAGAAGGTACTGAGCAAACTTAACTCATATGCTTATAGTTTCTCATTTGATATTCAATAAATATAATACCTACATTTATATGCTCTCTTTTGCTGCAGGCTGGTTCTTGCATTACAACCGAGCTGGCTTATGTCTATGAACTGGTTAGCCTTGTGTTGTTCAAAAATGTTATCACCTCTATGCTCCCAGCAGTTTATAATGGCTGGAATTTAAAATATTTTGTCTAGCCCCTTACTATGTTCAAGATACTTATGAAGTTTGGTGAAACATTGTTTTTTGTAAATCTGTTTTTAGTTTGAACTTATGAAGTTTGGTGAAACATTGTTTTTTGTAAATCTGTTTTTAGTTTGAACTGTTTCCTCTGAAATATAAGAATGTTGTTTCTCACTTTGTTGTCAGCAAGAAAATATACATAACTATGTCTCAACATAGGCTATTAACTACAGCTATGGATTATGACATCTTACATAATCTTGGCAGTTTCATTTTTATAATCCTTGGTGAAATTAAATGGTCCATTGAAAGACTTTCCCATTTTGTGTCATAATACCTTTTTCATCAATTATCAGATTGATATTGGTGGATTTGTGATACTTTGACAAGATCTATAGTGGGAAATGTGATACTGTACATAGGAAAGTCTTCTCCCCAAGTTTCCATTAATACATCTTGTAAAAAGGAAAGTGCAGTATCTCTCTATATTTAATGCACCCAACTTATTTTATCTGTGACAGTGTCCTTGCTGTTTGTTTTAGTCCTGGGTATTAATTGTATCTTATTAGTTCTTTTTTTTAAGCTACACTTGCAAAGCAATGCAGGAGTACCCTGCAGTGGGTTCAACTTTCCAATCAGATAAGCTAATCCATCAAACTATGGCTAACACTCCTCCACCTGGAGTAAAGTTAGGAGTTTAAGAAAAATTAAATTCTGGATAAAACAAGCATCCATCTTGTGCAATAACTAAGAGATCATTCACCTAACTTCCATCCTGTCACACTGGGTAGTAACCATACCGGAACAGAAACCTCCTGTTTTAAGATTTTTGACTCATGAAGTCCTGTTGGGGTGGTTTCCTTCTACCATCAGCACTTCTCTGTGAGTTAGTATCTAGTCTATTTAGTTTGGTTTCTTTTCCTGGAATTATCTCATCTATATACATGATGATATGCTAACATTTCCACTACAAATCTCCTTAGTTTCTTCTTGTCTTTATATTCAAGTCTGAGAGCAAACGCTTTGTTCAAAAATTGCCAGAGGTTAGGTCCATATTCTCCAGTCCACCCCTCCTAAGACCCCAGAAAGTTAGGACCAATATTGGATAATGGCCTTTTTCGTTTGAAAGGCTACTCCATAAAGGAAATTTTTTTTGATAAATGCATAAAGGAAAAAAGTTTTCTGATTAGCTCTGTCCTTGCTGGTACCAAGTTTCCTTTTTATTAAGCTATCATCTATAATATTCCACCAATGTTTTGAGTCAATGAGTTGTCATTGACCCTCAAAATTCCATGATTTTTTTAAAGTATTGCTAACATGATAGTTTTTGTCTATAATAGAATCCTAAAATCACAAGAGGATGAAATGTGAACGTGGTTTGTCTACAAAACAGGGCATTATGGGGTGTTATGTCTTCTGTTGTTATTTAAGGTCTCTGTGGTGGCCAATCCAGTGATTCTAGCGTTTGTTTTTTTTAATGGACTTCTTTTTATTATTGAAATGATATGTGGTTGAAAGTGGCATTTCACTTAGCTGTTATCTATGCCCAGTTTATCAATTAAGTATCTTTGAATGCCTAAACTGTTGTTCTTTCAAACTTTGAAAGTTATGTTTTTTTTTTTTTTGATTAGTGAAACTTGTTATTTGTAGGTAATGGGAGTTATTGATGTTAATAGAACTAAGGAAAAAGGGTATGCAACAATGGTGAAAGAGGGATTTTGTGATGAGGTTAGACTTCCTATTAGTGGTTTGTTTCATCTATTTAGATTTTAGTCTTTCTCCATTAGTTTCTATATTTATGTTATGCATCTGGATACCTCCTTTCTCAAATTTTCTTCTGTCTGTCATTTGAGCATTTTATTATTTATTGCCCATTTTTGTTCTTTACCCAATGGATAGAATGTGAATTACCTCTTTCTTTTTATGGTATAAAGATGGGGAGCTTTTCACCCTTCTATTTTATCCTTGGATCATATTATATCTATGAGCTGTATCTATTAATATTTTCATTTTTTCCCATATGGTTCTTTCTCAGTTTTTATTGTACAGAATCATCAGTATGAATGGCTTGTTTCCATTTTAAATTATCTGCTTAAATTGTGATGTTCAAGTGTGGGAAGAAGCATGGTTATATTGCTTCTTAGATCTGGTGTTTATATCATGTATTAACACCCAGTATTATTTGTATGAATATTAAGATTCTTTTGCATGCTTGTTGTCTACATAAATACGTATAGCTAACTAGTTGTTTGCGTATGCATGCACATACACATATGATGCTACTATTATCCCTTGATAGAGAACAATGGTGGAACAGAATTTGTGTAGCCAACCCCAAATAGTTGGGATTAAGGCTGACTTGAGTATAGAAGTGTTCGGTTAAATGATCATGGGGTTTATTCATGTAGCCTACTTTTGCTAGCAGAATTGCACATTTTATGGCCTACTCTAAAAGAAGCATACTTTTTTCTTTTGACATCTAGTTGGATGAGTTGAGAAAGATATATGAAGAATTACCAGAGTTTCTAGAAGAGGTACTTGCTTTGTGTTTTCATACATCAAAATTGAACAATTGAATGAAATGAAATTTATAAGTTTATGTAAGATTATATCAATCCCTTGCAGGTTTCTTCACTTGAAATTGCACGACTACCTCATTTATCTGGAGATAAGCTTGCTCCTTGTATAATTTATATACACCAAATAGGTTTGTCTACATTCTTTAACCAATTCTATGCCTACAATGTTTGGGAGATGTTGCAATTTAAATGTAGGTGAAGTACACTACTTATTGGAATGTCTAGTGCTTTATAGTTTGCAGGACTCTAGTTTATTTTTAACACAATAATAAAATGGCCATATTTAGTAAACACCCACAGGGATTGAATACAAATTGAACCTTATTAGTCGAAATCTCTTAATCATGATGCTTGGATCTAGGACATCTAAAGGTGGCAAAAGGATATGTAACATGGTTAAAATGTTATTACATTATGCTACCCACTACGGTCAAAGTCATAATAACTCTAAAAATTTCCAAGAAAACAAGGTATGGAAATGTTAAACTAAGGATAATCTGGGCAAGAGAGGCTTGAGAATTTCCTCTCCAGAACACCTCTTGTGCCAATAAGATTTAGCAGTGGTAGACCACCTATTTATCCATTGTAATTTCACTCTTAATATCTGGGATTTTTCCTTGAGTTTTTTAATCTGAGTTGTTTTCGTTATACCACCTATGATACACTTTCTGGGTGGCATCTCAGAGGACTAAACAGAAAGGGGGGTTTGGTTTTGAAGATCCATACTTCATGCAATTTTCTGGACTATATGGAAGGAGAGAAATAACAGAATATTTGAGAATAAAGTAGGCTTAGATTGAGGATGTTGTTTGGGAGGCTGCAGCAACTGTTCTCTTGTGGGTAGGGGTGTTGAAGGAATTGAGGGATACCCCCATATTTGATTCAGTCTAGGGAAACTCACCTTTGATCTTATTGGCTTTTTTGTATGCATTTGAAGGGGGTTTTCTTTTTCTGATTTTGTACAATCTCCTACCGTGTAGAGATTTTGTTGTTGAATCTCTATGTACTTAAGTGTTTCCTTGTTTAATGGTTCTAGATTACATTCACAAATTTATGTTCTAGTTCTATTAACTTTCTCACTTTATTTGTCATTCATAGGATATTTGATGTGCATTTTTGAAGATAAACTTGATGAAGGCACACTTGAGAAGCTTCGGGATTTTGAATTTGCAGTAAGTGCCAAATAGTTTGTTCTACTTGAATCAAGACAAACCATTCAGTACTTAGCATATATTTGCTTTTTTACATGAATTGCAAATATCAAACTAGTTTGCAGATGGGGATGGAGAAGTGAAGAAATTCTTTTATCACACTTCCAAGACACGGGAGTTGGACAACCTTCTAGGAGATGTTTATCATAAAATTCTAGGTATGTGTGTTAAATCATTCTTCATAGTATGCTGCTCCTGATAAGAATGCTGAAAATATCGCTTGTAAAAGTGAAAAAGAAGGGGAAAATTCTAAAAATTATCATCATCATCATCATCTAAGCCTTGTCCCAACACCCAACTATATGGGGTTGGCTACTGTTAAAGTATATCTTGTAAAAAGGGTAGAAATTAGAATAGTCCTTTTTGTCTTCTTTAATTTGTTGACAGGGGCATATATGTAATTTCTCCTTTTCTCTTATAAGTAATTAAAAGATAGGTCGAGTGGTTGAGAGCTCAATGGACTCTCACCGTTTGAACCCTTTTTTCCTTCCCTCCATTTTCTCTTCTTCTTTCTCTTCTCTATCTCCCTAACCAAAGCATATTTCTTTCTTCTTTTTCTTGTTTTCTCTATTAATCTAAGAGGTTTAAGTGAAAACACAGCTACATGAATCCTATTTTGCCATTCTGTTCTCTTTAGTGTCATTGGCATTGTTAATTATGAGCACTTAAATCATTTCTTGCCACTTCAACCCATGTCCTTTTTGGTATACCCCTAGCCCTTCTGGCCCCTTCAACTTGCAACAGATCACTTCTTCTTATGGGTGCAACGGAAAAAGATTCTAAAGATACTGGTGGAAAATATCTCTTAATTCTAGGAGTTCTATTTCTGATGTTTCTTAGGAAATCTAAGAGGAAGTATAATTTGTGACATACATATAGACTTGGTTAACTATATTTGTATTATTAAAATCATTTATATTTAGAACTTGTCATCTTAAAACTCAAGAATATATTGGTAAAGTAACTAAAGTAGAAGCATATTATCTATAAGAGAAATTAATTGCTAATTTAATTGAAATATCCTCTAACTTAATTCTTCTCCTAACTGAGTTCTTTAATACAGATATGGAGAGAGCAATCACAAGGGATTTGGTGTCCCATATTCTTTTATTCTCACTACATCTTATCAAGGCAGTAAATTTTACAGCTGAACTTGACTGGTAAGAGGCATTATTACAGATTTGGAATATTTAATTACTTCTGATTCTCTTGCAGTATTTTTGTTTCTAACTATTATGTATTCCATTGTTACATTAGTCTGTTGTCTCTGGCATTGGTTGCTCGTCAGAACAATTATGTGAGGCCTATTTTGACCACAGAAAACTTGCTTGACATACAAAATGGAAGGTTAGAGGTGTTTAACAATTCAGAATACATAAATACATACATATGTACCTGCATACATATATACATAGGCAGTGTTTGGCAAGTCTTTCTGTGCGGTCTTCTGGGCTTCGGCAAGCTCGGACCAAAAATTGGTCTTTTTCCATTTGGTAACCAAAATCTGGAAAGACCAGAAGATGTGTGTGCGGAAAGATCTGAAAAGACCGAAAATGCCAAATTTTGGGAAGCGTCAAATGAAGCTTTCCGGTATTTCTGTGTGATAGCCTCTAAACACATTTTTAAAATCCCGGTAGACTGAGCCGTGTGCCAAACAGTCTTTGTCTTTAACGACAAGACCCTAAAAGCTCAATACGTCTTTTGGCCATCTGGGCTGCTGGAAGATCTTTCTCAAAAACTTGCCAAACGGCACCATAATCAGACATATATAGAATATTATGTTTAGACGTTTAACTTCTTACTTCTTTGACACCACTCTATGATATGATAGTAACAAGTGGGTCATATGGGCACCAGGCATGTTTTGCAGGAAATGACAGTAGACACATTTATTCCAAATGATACAAAGATACTTGATGATGGTAATTGATGTTTTATCTGTTAATGCATGATTATTTTTATTGCTAAAATTTGTAATTGTTTTGTGTCAGGGAGGATCAACATCATCACTGGTCCTAACTATTCAGGGAAAAGTATCTACATAAAACAGGTAATAAGTAACATTCTTTCTTCCATTGTCATGTAGTTTAGTACCATTTTAATGTATAAGTATAATTACTCTACATGGGTGTTTCTCTGGATCTCCATATCAGACTACTAAGTTGCAATGCTTTCAAGAAGTTATAACCTTGTTTGTAAGCATTTAGCGTAACCATTGTTTTTTTCTTTTGATTTTTTTCTTTAACTGCTACAAAAATAAAATTTCTTGTGCATTCTTACCATGTGTAAAAGACCTTTTAATGTGTTACGGTATCTCTCATTGTATAAAGTACAGTATCTATAGGACATTGGACATACTCCAGGTCATTTATGGGATAGCAATATATGTTTAATATTTATTTATGAAGTTGGAAACTTTAACCAACTTTTTTGAGTTAAAAACATTATATTTCGGTCATTTCATGTTAAATACATTAATACATTGATAGAAGAATTTTTTAAAATAAAAGCAGTTATTGTCATAACTGAGAAGGCATATCCTTTCTTTGGTTAACTCATGGATGCTGTCAGATAAGAGTTCCTCTGGGATTATCTATGGTGGCCTTGGTAGAAATCTTAGGGAATTCCTAAAATCCTCCCCCTTGCTCTTCAACCCACTCTCTCCTTAGCCATAATACCTTCTACTACTTTCTTCTTGTAATTTGAGAAATACTGGAGAAGGCTGGAACTTGGGGGGGGGGGGGGTATCTTGAGAGCTGATGGATTTCTGATTTGGGCTTTTAGTGGTCCTGTCACTGCAAGGTCCGCAACGGATGCATCTGAAGCTGAAGTTCAAGCCCTTATAGAGGGTCTCAGATTTGGTAAAGACCTTGTCTCTGGCTCCTTGCTTGTGGAGGGTACTCTGATTGTGGTTGACTGGGCAATCAATTTTGGAACAGCTCCATGGAGGCTGTCTCATTTCCTGCATGAAATTCATGATCTTTCAGTTTCCCTTGGCTGATGCTTTAGATGGATTCCAAGAAATCTGAACCAAATAGCTAATTTCTTAGCTAAATTGGGTCCGGAGAGAATTTTTTGTCTAGTGCTAACAGCTTAAATGTCTTGAGTGGGCTTTTTTTTGTGTGTGTATCAAAGCCCTCCTTTGTTGTATATCCTCTTTGTATTTCTCTTATTCTTTTGAATATAATAGTTACCTTTTATCAGGAATAAGAAGAATTAATACATTGAAGGAAATGTTTCAGGTAGCTTTGATTATTTTCCTTTCTCACATTGGAAGTTTTGTTCCAGCAGAAGCTGCTACAGTGGGTTTGACTGATAGGTTAGTGACTTGCATATTTGCCCAGATTGTTCATATATGACATTCATTAAAAGAGTAGTTACATGACTAATCAAAATTTCCTTAAAATAGGATATTTTGTGCAATGGGAAGCAAGCTCATGACTGCTGAGCAATCAACATTTATGATTGATCTACATCAAGTGGGAATAATGCTTAGGTATTTGCTAAAGAGGCTGAATATCTTATATTGTTCACTACCTTATAAAATGCTCTTGTGATCTCAAATACTACAAATCCACAATCCATGGTGTTTGAACTGTGCATCTGTACACAATCTCCACTTTGATTATTAAATCTGCATGTTCAACATTGAGGATGTTTGGATCCCAGTGAAAAGCTACAACGGAATTTTAGTAAGTTTGTAGTTGGTTGATGTTTCCTCTGCCAAAACTGCCGTCACACCTAAACCAATTCCCACTTTTGTTTATCATAATATATTGATGGTTAAAGTTACTTATAGGCAGGCAACATCACTGTCATTGTGTTTATTGGATGAATTTGGTAAAGGAACACTTACAGAAGGTTTGACACTCAAACACTAGCAGTTTTCTGTTTCTTGGCTTGTCAGACTATCTTTCACTTTTTTTAACCATATTTTAATTTCTATACTTGGTGATCCGTTTCATTGTTTATTTCAGATGGCATCGGCCTCCTCAGTGGAACTATTAATCATTTTGCTACTTGTAATAGCCCTCCAAAGGTTTGGTTTGAGTAATTACATGGTAATTAATGTTATGCAATAACTGATGGTTTGTAGATGGGGAGTCCGTTTTCTAGCCACTTCACATACCAAAGAAACTTATTTTTAAAGAATTCTTTAACTACCCTCAAGTTTGCAGTTTTTTTTTTCTTTTGCCATTCTATTTCATTGAGAAAAATGATAAAATTTCTCAAATGTAATATTTAGATAAATGATATACCTATTAATTTGTCAACTATCTGCAGCAGATATACCTAAGTCTCATCTATTATGGGAAAGCAATGTGATGTATTACAATAATACAACCTTCTAGAATAATGTTTCCTTTTCATCTGGGTGTTCTTTGTGGTCTTAAAACCTACATGTAAATCTGATATATCAGTGTGAGAAACTTGTCATATGGAGTCTATTCAACTGATTTGTAGGTTCTTGTCTGCACACACTTGACTGAGATATTTAGTGAGAGTTGTTTGCTGAAGGTTTGCTTCATTTTAATATCTATTACATCCACTGTTCAAAAATCTTCTGTAATATATATTGAGAAACTGACTAGTTTATGAATTGACTTTTGCAGACTGAAAATGTCAAGGTCTATACAATGAGTGTCCTGAGACCTGATGCCAACTGTTCAGATGTTGAAGACATTGTATTCCTATATCGGTACTTGCACAGTGCCTCTTAGATTTATTAACAATGAGAGATCAATGATACCCATTATTTGGATCACTGGGAGTTCTATGGTTAACCTAGAACTACATTGAGGGAGTTGGTTACACTAGCCAATGAGCCTCACCAGGGAATGCAAAAAAATGATGTGATTGTGTGACTGACCATTTGATGTTTCCTGTGCAAATGATCATTAAGCAAGCTGATAAGTCAGTTTTACTGAATGCCATAACATATGACTAAAATATCCTAGAGCCTTAAATAATGTAATTCAAGTATGCTTATTCCTCCTTTTTCTTTTAATGAATTTTTCTTTTACTATGAAAAATAATGTAATTCAGTGATTAAATGTTCTGCCAACTTCAGATAAGTAATCCTAGGTGGGATAGGTTGGATACCAAGTAACTCCCTTGTTTGAAGGAGGAAGGATTAGCTGAATTTGATAGCTGTTTTACTGGCTGTGGGATCAATCATTTTGCCCCACACCAGCCATAAAGTGCATATGACCCAATGGCCCACAATTACTCAATATCTCACTTGCATTTATGGCTGATGTGGAGAAAAATTATTGGTCTCATAGCCAGTAAAACAGCTATCAATTCAACTAATTCACTCTCCTTAAGAACTATACTTCTGGTAGAATGTCATTTATATTTCTATACTCATGGAATCTTATTGGATGGGACCTCAGTACCTCAATATTCTTGTCATGCAGGCTTGTTCCTGGACATGCACTTCTGAGCTATGGTGGGTCTATATTATCAGTCAATTGGGCTTAATATCCCAATTTAAATTTACAATTGAGTTAACGTAATTTGATTACTTCTTGCAGGTTTGCACTGTGCCCTACTTGCTGGTGCGTCTCAAATTCAAATAGAGTTAATAATTCATGATTATATTTCTTTGACCTTGTTAACTGTGGTATATCTTGTAACAGTTGATAAATTCTTTGTTTTCATGCCGTAATTTCTATGCACGTAAGGTTTCATTCAAGTTTCTTGTTTGATGACATTTTCTATGCACGTAAGGTTTCATGCCGTAAGGTTTCATTCAAGTTTCGATATGTTTTATCTAATTATAAAAGTATGAATTTCAAGAGCATAATAAATGGATGGAAAGCAAGTATGATATAATCCACCCTGAAATCCGGTCCAACATCTCAGGATTGATCTTAGAACCTGGTATATCGAATCAAACACAGATTTGACCCCACCTGATCCAATTAAGACTCGAGCTGATTAAATTTAATATTTTTATATTTATTAAATTTTACTATATGTATAAATTAAAAAGTAATTATTTAAAAAAAATTGATATTTCTTTATTTTAAACACAACAAGGCAGATTCAGATGAAATCCAAATCCGATCCGAAACTGATATTGTCAGACTTGGATTTTAGGTTCCAATAATTGGATCAGATTCGGATGTGGCTGGATCCAATCCAAATATGAATCGGTTACAGCCCTACATCAAACTGCTGAACCAGGAACTGAGAATTTAATGCCAATAGTTCAATATGTGGTTCAGTTTTTGAAACTTGGGATGGTAGCCACTGCTCAAAAGTTGCTGTTGGTTCGGCTGGTTTAGTGTTTATGTTAGTCATATTTGTGTCTTAAGTCCTTAGTTGTTGGGCCTAAACTTGTTTTAATGTTTTATTTGTCTAGGTGTCCCATCACTAATCAGGGGCATTCTAGTCCATTCATGTAACATTATTTTGTAAACATCTATATAAGATTGTAGGGCTGGCTGAAGTGAGTAAGCCGCCATTATCAAATCTTCTTCTCTTCTTCTTCTTCTTCTTCTTCTTCTTCTTCTTCTTCTTCTTCTTCTTCT